CTCGCGGCAAGGCCGGAGTGTTTCGTTCTGATTCGACCGTCTGAAACTTTATTCGCCCGCTATAGGAATCCAATTTCCTTTATTACCAACTCCTGGTCGGCAACTTTCACGAATCGACGGGGAAATCTCATAGAATACGCGGTCCCTCGCTCTGTTTGCATTCCAATGGCAAATAACAAGTAAGTGGAACGGCAATCGTAAGAAGCCTACGGAAATGGTGGCCGTGGAGAGGCTGGAAGTCTTTCTTTGAAACATCTCGCTACTTTGTAGCACACTTAAAGGTATTAACCGCGCGAGTTTCTCTTGTCTCGAACAAAGGCGAGTTCGGACAAACTGGACACTGATCGTTTGAATAAAATATGTTCAAACTACGAAGTTTCATGGTTCATTGTTCAGGGAAATGAATGTGTGGTTCCTAACACTTTGGCTGCCACGATGGTTAAAGTTCTTCAGAGCGATTAACGCCTTCTTTAGAGTCATTAAAGATAAATAGCATCGACTGAATAATTTCAACACGTTGGCTACGGTAAATTTCCTGTTCCTTGATATGGTTGTTAATCAACGATAAGATAAAATCCAATGAGTAGCAATGGCCCGTCAAATCCTAACCTTAAATAAACGACACTTCACAAGTACATAACCTATGAACGTATGATATGAAATATTTAAAAGATATTTAATAAATTAATATTTATATCGATCACCGATCATCGTGACAGTCAACGTATCAAACAGAAAAAAGTTAGGTTATATTATCACAAAGAGAGAATAATGAAAAATCAACTCACCAGTGTCGTAGAGCGGACACGGCATGTACGCGTACCGCTGTTCCGGGTGTACCACGGACTTGTTCCGCTGTCCGCTAGTCATCGTTGCGAATTTGGTCACGTACTGCAGGAACTTGTCATAGAAAAGAAGGAAGGTTGTTCGAAATATCGTTAAGGCGGTATCGTAGTCCTTATGGTTCAGCGGATTCGGCCCGATTCGACGAAACGAGAGAACGTCAGGACAATTATCCCGAGATGGCCAGGGGCAACTGCATCCTGCAATAGTCGAGCGTGTCGTGATGCATCGGTTGCTGAGCCTCTTCGCAAATTAACCAATTAAGAATGGCCGTTGTTGCTTCCGTGCCAATTAGGCACCGCTCCTGATGGCCGTGTACACGCGCGTGTACGTGAGGACGTCGTCACTTAATTAGCACCCGAAATAACTGACTTCTTCCCTTTGTGGACGTGGTTTTCTTTCTACTGGCGGCACCGCGAGCTTTACCTTCGCAACAGACATATAAATACAGGTAAGGAGCGATACTTCACGTTTCCCGGTCATTTATTTTTAGTCACGCGAATGTCGCGATTCTGTTCACTACGAAAGCGCGGGAAAATGGCGTCTCGCATCGATTGTTGTTGCAACGATCGGATACATCGATACAGAACTAATAGAGTTTCGTGATGAAATTAACGTGTTGAAAACATACCGTTCGTACACATCGTCATAGATGAATAGGATACATTAAGGTCATGAAATCCATCAAAGATAGCGATTGAGAGGTTATTTTGAAACGTACATTACGTAAAAAGATACGAATCTCGAGATATCCTTCAGGATGACCATACAAAGTCAGTTCACAATTGTTTCTTCTTCTGCGTATGGTACGCATAATTCGAAATTACGAAGATTCTGAAAGTACACAGTTCATTGGTTTAAACACCAACGCGCAACTGACATTTCAACTCGCAACTGACTTTGGAGCTTCAAGGTACATGTATAAACACATATATATAAAGTATACATACGACGTTAATCGGTGTGTCGTCGATTAATATTTTAATTAAAAACTTCACGTCAGATACGCAACATTCGTTGCGATAAACTATCTATGTAAAATGTTACGTGATCGACGTTCCTGGCTCCTCGTCACGTTCGAAACCGCCGAAATCAGCGACAACCTCCGATTATTGAGCTCGTTAATAGATTATAAACTTATTAGCGAGTAGAGGGTCTCAAGTGTCCCGCATCACGCCCCCTTTTCCCATTTTCGTGAATTCCGAACTTCTTTCGACGGGCTGAGAGGAGGCGCCACCGGTTCAATAAATATCGACCCAAATAGCTAATGATTGTCGATCAAGTGCATCGCACATTTCGCGGGAAGTAAGGTGGCGCGTCTCGCGTGCCGGACGATCGCGTTCTCGCGTTAGATTTCTTGCGAGCGATACGAAACCAAGCCACTTACCACCTACTTTTATGTTGCCATCTATATCAGTGT